TAATCCATCAACTGTTTAGTACAGGTATATATACATACATTAAGCCATCAACTGTTTAGCACAGGTATACATATATACATTAAGTCATCAAGTGTTTAGTACAGATATACATACATACATTAATCCATCAACTGTTTAGTACAGGTATATATACATACATTAAGCCATCAACTGTTTAGCACAGGTATACATATATACATTAAGTCATCAAGTGTTTAGTACAGATATACATACATACATTAATCCATCAACTGTTTAGTACAGGTAAATATACATACATTAAGCCATCAACTGTTTAGCACAGGTATACATATATACATTAAGTCATCAAGTGTTTAGTACAGATATACATACATACATTAATCCATCAACTGTTTAGTACAGGTATATATACATACATACATTAAATCATCAACTGTTTAGTAGAGGTATACATAGATACATTAAGTCATGAACTGTTTAGTGCAGATATACATACATACAGTAAGTCATAAACTGTTTAGCGCAGGTATACATACATTAGGTCACCAACTGTTTAGTACAGGTATATATATATACACATACATTAAGTCATAAACTGTTAGGTACGGTATATATACATACATACATATATTAGGTCACCAACTGTTTAGTACAAGTATACATACATACATTAAGTCATAAACTGTTAGGTACGGTATACATACATACATACATTAGGTCACCAACTGTTTAGTACAGGTATACATACATACATTAAGTCATAAACTGTTAGGTACGGAATATATATACATACATACATACATACATTAAGTCACCAACTGTTTAGTACAGGTATACATACATACATTAAGTCATCAGCTGTTTAGTACAGGTATACATACAAACATTAAGTCATCAAATGTTTAGTAGAGGTATACACATACAGACATTAAGTCATAAACTGTTTAGTGCAGGTATACATACATACATTTAGTCATAAACTGTTCAGTACAGGTATATATACATACATTAAGTCTTCAAATGTTTAGTACAGTTATACATACATACATTAAGTCATCATTAAGTTCTTCTCTTGCTGATTTATCCAAGCTTGTGATGTGATATCAGCTATTTAACAGAGGTAAAATACAGAATGCTGATGTTCATCTCTTGTTGATATATTCAATCTTATGATGTGATATCAGCTATATAGCAGAAGTAAAATACAGAATGCTGATGTTCATCTATTGCTGATTTATCCAAGCTTATGATGTGATGTCAGCTCTTTAATAGAAGTAAAATACAGAATGCTGATGTTCATCCCTTACTGATGTATCCAAACTTATGATGTGATATCAGCTATTTAATAGAAGTAAAATACAGAATGCTGATGTTCATCTCTTAGTGATACATTCAAGCTTATGATTTAATGATGCAAGTTAAATAAAAAAAGATAGAAACTAAACCAAATAAATCAAGTACATACTAACTTTTTGAATACTTACCTCATGAGTAACTATTGATATTCGAGGATTGTCCAAGTTTAGCCAGTATGGTATTTGTCCATTTGTTATAATATACACTTGACGTATCCATGGAGCATTTTTTTCCAGTGACCTCAGTGAATACCGTAGTTCCTTGAACCATGAGTGTAGAACAGTAATAAACAAATAAAACTAAATTTGGTGTGAACATCTTTGAAGTGAAGAGATAAAGAATTATTCTATTGTAAGCTTTATTTTAAATATTTCTATTTAGATGTTTGTTTACTAGAGGAAGCATGACATTATCCCAAGATGATGGAAAACCTAGAATTTCATGAAAGTTAAAACCTCTGTTTTAAGTGCAAGAATCAGTAGGTCATTCAGTTAACGAGTTATTCAGTTTAGTGAGTAAGTTAGAGGGTGAGAATTAATGCATCTATTTGCCTGTCATTCAGTTAATCAGTGAGTCAGTATGTTTGATATTGTTCAATTAATGAAGTAATTCTGCAAGTTTATAAGAATATTAGGTATAGACATTGAAAGCTACATTTTAATGTTTTAATTTATGATTTTGCTGAAGAGAGCTACCAAGATCATGATGTTGCTAGATGTAGAAATTTATAAAAGCCATCTTAGAATTCAGTAGGGTATTTAGTATGACAGCATCAATCAGTCAGTGAAGTATTTAGTATGACAGCAGCAATCAGTCAGTGAAGTATTTAGTATGAGAGCATCAATCAATCAGTGAAGTACTAAGTACGACAGCCCAATCAATCAGTCAGTGAAGTATTTAGTATGACAGCATTAATCAATCAGTGAAATACTTAGTATGACAGCACCAATTAATCAGTGAAGTTCTTAGTATGACAGCATCAATCAGTCAGTGAAGTATTTAGTATGACAGCATCAATCAGTCAGTGAAGTATTTAGTATGACAGCTTCAATCAATCAGTGAAGTACTTAGTATGACAGCCCAATCAATCAGTGAAGTATTTAGTATGACAGCAGCAATCAGTCAGTGAAGTATTTAGTATGACAGCAGCAATCAGTCAGTGAAGTATTTAGTATGACAGCCCAATCAATCAGTGAAGTACTTAGTATGACAGCATCAATCAATCAGTGAAGAACTTAGTATGACAGCATCAATCAGTCAGTGAAGTATTTAGTATGACAGCATCAATCAATCAGTGAAGTACTTAGTATTACAGCCCAATCAATCAGTGAAGTATTTAGTATGACAGCACCAATCAATCAATCAGTGAAGTATTTAGTATGACAGCACCAATCGATCAGTGAAGTATTTAGTATGACTGCACCAATCAGTAGAGGTATTTAGTATGACAGCACCAATTAATCAGTGAAGTACTTAGTATGACAGCATCAATCAGTCAGTGAAGTATTTAGTATGACAGCATCAATCAGTGAAGTATTTAGTATGACAGCATCAATCAGTGAAGTACTTAGTATGACAGCATCAATCAGTGAAGTACTTAGTATGACAGCCCCAATTAATCAGTGAAGTACTTAGTATGACAGCATCAATCAGTCAGTGAAGTATTTAGTATGACAGCATCAATCAGTGAAGTACTTAGTATGACAGCCCCAATCAATCAGTGAAGAACTTAGTATGACAGCATCAATCAGTCAGTGAAGTATTTAGTCAGCATCAATCAGTCAGTGAAGTATTTATAATGACAGCATCAATCAGTCAGTGAAGTATTTAGTATGACAGCATCAATCAATCAGTGAAGTATTTAGTATGACAGCATCAATCAGTGAAGTATTTAGTATGACAGCACCAATCAGTGAAGTATTTAGTATGACAGCACCAATCAATCAGTGAAGAACTTAGTATGACAGCATCAATCAGTCAGTGAAGAACTTAGTATGACAGCATCAATCAATCAGTGAAGTACTTAGTATTACAGCCCAATCAATCAGTGAAGTATTTAGTATGACTGCACCAATCAGTGAAGTATTTAGTATGACAGCACCAATCAATCAGTGAAGTACTTAGTATGACAGCACTAATCAATCAGTGAAGTATTTAGTATGACAGCATCAATCGATCAGTGAAGTATTTAGTTAGTTTCATTTCATTCAGTGATTGTGAAATTAGTGAAATATTTAGTTACACAATTGAATTGCTGTGAAATCATACAAGTTTATTTTATGTTAGTCATTATGCCCTTAATGAGTAAATTTCTGTTGCAAGTTGAAACATTAATTGCAAACAAGTACAACTGTTTACATGTGGTAGCAGCCTATATCAAAGATTAAGAAAGAAAGAAATTAATTTGGTATTGTTACACGGACTGAAACTTCAGATTGTTTTCCCCAAATGATTTAAACGAACTCGCCCAGTGATAAAACACATTACACACAGTACATTAGCTTCAAAGTTTCTGTTCAAATGCTCTTTCTGAAATTAGGCCTACCAGTGTATATGGTATGTCACAAATGTTACTGAAGAAATAAATTAATTCTTTATTGTTATGTCGGCTGGACACAAAATTATTTTTACCAAATAATCTATAAAAACTTACCCAATGATATAATGAATTATAACAATGGTGGATTACTTTGGTGTAAATAAAAAACTTTGATTTAACTTCAAAATGACAACAACAAGGACACAAAGTGAGACCCTAAAAATCTGATGAAGAACAAACATAAAGAGACAGAGCACTAAAAGAAGATCAAGGAAAAAAAAACAGAGAAAATGAAAAGAAGGCCAAGAAGAAATTTAAAACAAGAGTGGAAAGAAAGAGATGTTATTTAAAGAAGAAATAAAAATAAATAGGATTGAACACAAGAGAAATGAAGATATTGGAAATGTACTGGGATTACAATAACAAAATTGACGAAGTAGAAAGAAGCATTAAAAAATTACAGAAATGACAAAAATCAAGTAGTACAAAAAAAACATTAGCAAACATGGTTTCCACACCTTCAGTAAAATGAAATTCTCTGTTTTTTCCCCTGACCAAATTATGTTACTCCCTGAGTTGATCTATTCTTGTAATGTGTCATTGAACTACTATCTATAATTAGATGTGAAATTACAAAACCACTCGTATGTTAACCAAGGATTATGATGTGAGTTAAAATTAAACACTTTTATTATCAATGTATGAAAATAAGCTTGACATAAAAACCTAGTTTATTATTCAAAGTTTAGCATTATATATTTTAATTTTTTCAATCCCAAAAAGGAAATATTTAATTTATTCTCAATCTTCACTTTTCTGTATTACATGACAGTTCTTTGCTCCAAATTGCTAAGTTTAGATTTTTCCTTCCATTTTTTTTAAGTTTACAAAGTTTCTGTTGAGATACCTTTATTACAAGTTAGATATCTTCAAGCTAAAATGTTAATATATGGCATCTATAAGCTTCTTTGTTTATGGAGATATAAACCGTAAACTAAAGGTCACATGTCATGTCCCTTACAGAACATCCTGATGTCACAATGATATTTCCTATTGAATTACTTGTAATCAATAGAAAGTCAAAATTTCAATTTACTAACAGTAAATTTACTGCCACTGGAATGAGAAAATTTTAACATTTTGGCATTTTTTTCTTTGTTTGCTACTGGTGGAGCTCTGGGAATTATTTAAGTCATTGCTAGCTTAGTAAAAAAACTGGTAAATTATATTAGTTTTAGGACATTATATTTTAAAAACATGGGAATATTTTGTATTCTAACTTGTGTATTTGAATTTTAAAAACAATATTGTTTTGACTTCTCTCGTACAAGTACAAAAGCATAACAAAGACAAGATGTATAATGTAAGTACTACATTTCTTGGTTTTTATGTATATCTTTCATGAAAATAACTAAAACATAAGAATCAGAAATTTATTAGGTTAGAAAACTTAAAAGAAATTAAATGAAAAAAATACTCATGACCAATGAAATTGTTACGTCTCTGGTCACTTGTTAATTTCTCGTATAATTTCTTTCGGATGAAACTTCAGCGATACAAGTCCTTTCTTAAATAAAACTAGTTTATTCTTTCTCAATACAACTTTGCTATACACTTAATTTCCACAGTACCTTTAACTTAATTCACTATAATTCACAACGAATCATGGACTTTATTTACGGTCACTACTGCGCTCGACTCAATTGTCCGTCTCTATCTCTGCCTGTCTGCAATTCAATTAATTATCTCGCTTTATTTGCCTGCTTATATACTGATATAGAGGGCACGTAGAAAAGACTAGAGTTGCCAGGAAGAGATATGATCCTTTAAGAAACTCCAGCACGCATGCTTCCAGCATCGCGACTTCCGCTGTCATAACAATATTGTGCAAGTGAGTGGATTTGTTGTTTAAAAGTGAAACAGACTATAGCCTGAGAAGGTCAATGTGCAACTATCAAGAAATAAAATTAAATGAAAAACCTATTAGCTTTTGCTGAAAACTAAATAGTGTATAACTGTGTTATAACACGTGTTCATTAAAAAAAGTGTAATTTATATTTTATATTTTTGGTTAGAAAGTTAGTCAAATAGACATACAGTGTTAATGTAGAGAAAATAAACTAAATACAGTTTTACTGAAAAACACTTTTGACATTCATTAAGGAGTTTCTAGATGTTATATAAATAAAATTTAGAACTTTAAGATAAAAAAAGTATTTTTAATCATAATATGAAAATTATCTTACTCATACTAGTCACACTCTGGCTCTGACTCAATAAATTCATGGACAAATCTTTAGTAAAGATACTTAATTAAAAATTTTATTATTCTGTGACAAAATATTGTAATGTTTAATAAAACTATACGCACCATGTTAAAATTTATAGTATGGATACTTTGATGGTTACCTGATGTTTACAAGGTCAGTCAAAAGGATTGAGCCCATAGTTTGCCTAAACGTCATCATGCAAAGTTCACTATAATCAGTCATTCTGTTCACAACTTATAGATATTGTTACGACAGCGGATGTCACGTGACACAAAAGGATCGGGGAACATCACGAATAATCCAGTATTTGCTAGATGTCCTCTATTCCTGTATATAAGCGTGCCAGGTAAAGCGAGACAATTAATCAGAATTGGATAGCAGATAGAGATAGACAGATAATACAGTCAAGTGAGCGGTAGTGATTGTAAGTAAAGTGCATGAATCGTTGTGA